AGCTCCATTAAAAAAATGTAGATGTCGTATAAGTTGTTTGTGTTAATAAGACAAATAACAGGGCTCCCCTGTGGCGCAGTGGTTGAGCGCTGGGTTGCGAAACTGCCCGCAGACTCTGCGGCGCCAGTTCGATCCCCGGCTGCTCCCTGGCCACCGGAGGAGGGTCCCACATGGCGCACAGACCTCTCCTGCCGCCCGCTGCTCCCCTCAGCAGTGTACTTCGGTCCTTCTGCCTCCTCTGCTCCCTGCTCTGGCTCTGGTGAATTCTCTCACCCTCCCGCGCTTCTGACTGTATCCAGTGCTTGTATAAATAAATAAATTAATTTAAAAAAAAAAGACAAATAACAGCACTGTCTCACGTTAACTTTGGTGGACTGCTGTTGTGGTTCTTTATTATATATAGTTGTATAACTCCTGAACCAAATCATAAATTCTGAGTCAGTTAATCACTGAAAATTCTTTTTTTTAAAAAAAGATTTATTTATTTATGCATAAAAGAGCTGGGGTACAGACCAGAGGTGTGGGGGTGAGAGAATTCACCAGAGACAGAGTAGGGAACAGAACAGGCAGATTGACCAAAGTACACTGCTGAGGGGAGCAGTGGGCGAGGCAGGAGAGGTCTGCTGTACCATGTGGGTTGCTCCCTGGCTGGCTGGGAATCGAACTGGTGCTGCGGATTGCTTCATAGGTTGTGTCTTAACCCTTGTGTTACCAGGGTGGCCCGACCACTGAAAATTCTTGATGTGGCTACACTTATAAGGAATGTGTTAAGCCTATTAATCAACACCAATACAAATATTCTAAAGAGATTCCTGTGATTTAATGTATTTGTTGATTGGAGCCATCTAAGTGGTGGGTTCCAAGTTTCTAGTCCCTTGCATCGTTCTTTAAATAAATGTTTCCGGAGAATCTGTTATGTGCCAACTACTGTCGTGTAAATTGAATTCAGCAATAAATTAAAAACAAAAATCTTTGCCCTCATGGAAATTTACAATTTTTGTGGAAGGGGTAATAAGGACAGTGGGTATTTAATTTCATTTGATAAATAGCGTGCTTTAAATAATTTCAAAAAGAACTGAAAACACAATACAGTAATTTTAGCTCACCTTTACTCCAAGGAAATATTACAAAGCTAGATGATACACTCAGGTTTACTTTAGTGATATCTTCCTGCAAATTCTCAAATTCTTTGTGAATTTCTTATAATACAGCTCTCATGCTTACATTGTAGGTCAGGGTTTCCAGACTTTTGGATTTCATAGGCCAGTAATATTTTTGAAATTCAGGAGAATTGATACATGATTGCCTGCTTTTAATTTTGCCGTGTAAGAACACTAAAAATAATAACTATTGTCACCATCGTTTCTTAAAACAAAGCATATTTTAATCACAAAGGTAGGTAAAGTGTAATCTCAGAACAAAGAAGAATCTTTTACAATTAAGAAATAAAATATGAAAAGCTCATTACATGATTCTTAGTTCTCTTATTTTGCCATGGACAGTTTGGAAACTATTACTAGAGAACAATTATAACTAATTGCAATTCTGATTTTCTTCTTGTTGCTAAGGGATTTTGCTGTTTCACACTATTTAAAGAGACTGTGTGATTGAATGTTACCCTTTTTTAAGAGGTAAATTTTATTTTTTAAAGGGTTTATTTTTTATTTTTGTGTAGAAGAATTGGAGTGTAGGCCAGAGGATTCACCAGAGAGAGAGTGGGGAACAGAACAGGCAGATCTACTGAAATATACTGCTAAGGGAAGCAGTGGGCAAGACAGGAGAGATGTGCTGTGCCATAGGTGGGTTAGCTCCCTAGCTGGGGATCAAATTCAGAACTTGGTGTGATTGTGCTGAGACTTAACCCTCTTGGGCCACCAGGGAGGCCCAAGAGGTAAATTTTATATTACAGATTGTATATATTGTGCTAGCTGATGGACTTTGTCTTGGAATACACTGGACAGCTGATTACAATTTTATATTTAGTCATGTCTCTTGATTTCTAACCTTGTGTTATCTTGGGCAAATCATTTTTCATCTTTGGCCTTTGATTCTTTCTATATTGAGAGGATTATTTCTTACATTTTGTTCTAGTTCCTGAACTATGTTGATAACTTTGGTAGTTAATTCCATTTTAAATTTTTGTGTCTCAAGATTAATGATTTTTCAAAAATCTGGACTAAGTACTTTTTCATATTCCTTCATCTGAGAGCTGCCATGAGGAAGCCATGTTAAAATTAAATAGTTCTAAAATTAATCTTTTCAGAAGTTTTGACTAAGTAAATAACTACCCAGCTATTTTTTTTGTAATATATTATTTTAAAAAGGTATAGATGTAAATACAATTTGATGAATCCTGACAAGTGTAACTCACATCTCAAACAAGATGAAGACTATTCTAAAAAATATCCTGGTGCCACTTTCCAGATAATCTTTCCTGCCACTACCTTGTCCAGTTATACCCTCCTGCCAGAGGCAACCACTATTCTGATTTCTGTCCCTCCAACCTGAAGGGGTGGACGTGTGTGTATGTGTGTGTGTATTTCCATTGCTGATATTGTGAAGATTTTTTTCTAGTATGTAGCTTGTCTTGCTTTTCTTAATGGATCACCAAATATTTTTAAATTTTGATTTTGAATTTTTTTCTCTTATGGTTTGTGTTCGTCATGTCCTCACTAAGAAATCTTTACCAATCCCAAGATCATATTCTATATTTTCTTCTAGAGCCTTTTGAGTTTTAGGTTTTATCTCAGGTATATAATACATCAAGAATTAATTTTTGTGCATATTTTGAGCTATTACCCAAGTAATTCTCGAGAGTAAATAACTCTCTTTTTAAGTAGACCCCTTTCATCACTTCTTCCTTAATTTGAAATTACAGAGGTATCTTTCCTTTCCATTTCCCAAAGGAGAGCATAGTCAAAATGCTGACAGGATAATTCTCTTCTCTGGCAACTTACTCATTAGTTTGAGTTGGGGAGTTAATTAAACCAGGTCCCTAAAATGTAATGGTATGCCTTGTCAGATTCAGTTTTACCCTTATCTTTGTACTTCCTTAGGAATAAAACTTTATATTTCTGAATTGTGTTAAAGACAATGGTGACTTTTATGAATTGTGAATTCATATGAATCTCCAGAAAGTGTCAAATTGGTTAGGTTAGAACCATGAAAAGACTAAGTAATCACCGTGTCACCCTTTACACAGAACACAGCTGTTTTTCCATCTTGTACTCCCTGTGCTCTGACAGTTTGTCTCAAGTGAATGCTGTGATTAGCAGTGCTTTGGTGAGTTTAGTAACCTGGAAAAGACAAAGACTCTTAAAGAATAGTTCCATATTAAATAGTAGCACCAACTGTTTGATGTCATTTTTTCTGATCAGCTTTAATCACTTCCACTGATAGCTTCATGAGACATGTATTCTTATTTTACAGAAGAAAATTTGAGATGCTGAGATGTTGACTGATTTGGCCATGGTGTCAGTTCTGTCTCCCAAGCCAGTGCGCCAGCCACTGGATGCATTCAGAAGATACTGTTTTTAAGTAGCTGATGGCCATCTTGAATTTGTTGAAGGACTGATCTGGGATGGGGGGGGGTTGCAGGGATTGGTGGGGACTCCCTTCTTGCTAAACACAACAATTAGTTGATGCTGACGTAGCTGTAGTTCTCCTGTTTTCAATAGAGACCCAAAGAAATATAGATCCCGTCTTTTTCCCACACAGGGAAATAGTAATGTTTCAACCAGCCTTTTAGCTAAGTACCCATTTTCCCATAGAGAGAGAGAGAGTGTGTGTATTCTCCCCAACTTCAGTCAGAAGTTCAGTAGCAGGTCTAATACAGTTACTGTTATTTTTGCTAACTTCATAAGGGAAACTAAAACAGAAATGCAAAGTACATGCTGTACCTTTAAATTGTTGAAACTTTTTCATGAGATACATACGTAGTTACCCATTGTAGTTTTTAAGGTGATTTTTCATAGTGCTAAGTCACGGAAGCCATATATGGTACATGAGTACTTTAAGAAATTTTGAAACTTTGCCTTTTATGTCAGAAGGCAACCTCTCAAAGAAATCTGAGTATAAAGGGAAAATGGGATTGAGTCAGATTATAACCATAGAACATTTATGGCATTGATGGTAGTGGTGGCTCTGCAGATATATTCATGTCAAGTTGTATTCATTAAATACCTGCTTTTTTATGTCCATCTTTTTTCAACGAAATGATTTTTTAAAAAACCAAAGGACATTTTAATATTGAACTGAACACTTTTTTCATTGTATGAGTAATATATATTCATTGTGAAAAAATTACAAATGTTTTATAAATTGTTATATATTTATAAATTACAAAGTAAAAATGTGTTAATGTGTACTTAATGCATTCATATGTATACTTTTTTTATACAAATATAAGATTATCAATACATATTGTTTGCCACCAGCCTTTTCCTGAGAACAGTACATCATGATTTTCTATATTATGAATAGAGCTGTATTATACTTTTTAATGGTTTAGTGCTATGGCATTGTAACCAAGTATTATAGTTTAGCCAATTTCCTCTCTTGGACATTTATATTATTTTCAAGTTTGCATTTTTGATAAGTGCAGTGGTCATCCTTGCATAGTTCTTTCTTGGGATGAAATTCTAGAAGTGAAATTGCTGGATCAAAGAATTCACATTTTTGAGGCTTAAAACTGCCAAGTTGCAATCCATTAGGTCACAGCAATTTATATTCTTTTCAGTGTTAGACAAGGGTGACCATTTTCCCCCATCATTAATAGTAGACAGATTTCCCAACATGGTGCCAATCTAGTAACTTGAAAAATGGCATCTCCTTGTTTTAATTGGCATTAATTATTCATGAAGCTGACCCTTTTTCATGTTCATTGGCCAGTACAGATTATGGTCTCACAAATGAATAGTTCATGGCCTTGAGTACAGATGCTTCAGAAACTTTTCCCCATTCATCAGTCTTTTCAACAGTTCCTTATTTTTTCTTTCCAGGAGCGACTAAAACTGGTGACTGTTCTGGGTGCTGGCCTTCTCTGTGGAACTGCCCTGGCGGTCATCGTGCCTGAAGGAGTACACGCACTTTATGAAGATATTCTTGAGGGTGAGAGGGAGAAGGGCTTTCTTTGAGATATGTTATTGACATGGAGAGTTGAAAGGAAAAGCGTAGTGGTATTTTTTCTGAACATAGCTCATGTTTGCCGTAGAGTTTCTCTCCTGGAAAGTGTTCTTAGAAACAGATCTTTGGACATTTTTAACATCTAACATTTCCTTAGAACTGTCTGTGAATCAACTGTCCCAACTTATGAATAGTATTTAGAATTATTTGCAAAAATGCATGAATTCCAGTCTTAGCATCACAATCTTTCTTTTAAGGCCTATTGCAAAACTTGTCAAACTTCCCAGTATCACTACATAGCAGTGATTGTATTTTAGTGTTCTTTGAAAATATATGCATATGTGCACATTTGGATTCAAGGACTCTTTACAGAAAACTTGTCGATAATTGTTGAAGCAGTAAAGGATAACTAAAAAATTAGAGGTTTTCCTTATCCTAATTACTAATAAGTAGAAAACAGTTTAGCTGTGTGAGAATAAATGCTGCGCAGTCAACTTGCTTTACACCTGCTGAGTAACTTCATCCTTCACATCCACTTGAATGCATGCTTGATTCAGATTTATGACGCAGCAAAATCAGGTTACTGCTTGTCATGGAGCTTCACAGCTACCTATGAAGAATTGAAACCACTTAAATTGGAGCTGAATTCTCAAATGCCAAGACTATACTGGACTTAAAGAACAGTATAAAAGAGAGACACTTTCCAAATTTCTTACTAGGCAAAAATACAATAAATACTATTTCATATCTTGGTAGAGGAAAAGAATTGTGTTTTTGGTCCAGAGTGATGATGCTTTTATGAAGGCATAAAAGTAGGTAGAATGGTGTTTACTAGGCAGAGAGTAATGGCAGATGTTATAATGCAGTCTTAATGCAGGACTGAGGCTGAGGATTTGTGTGTTTTATGGGGGGGGGGAAGGAGCCCAGGAACGGTAGTTTCTACTTTTTTGATCACACATATTATTAGGGAATAAAGATATACGTGTACTGCTGCACTTATTTGCTTATTTTAAAGCACTCCAAAAATAGAAAGTTTTGAAGTATGAGATATAAAGTAAGTATATGTAGAAGATAGTGTTTTCTTTTATATCCCAGTAGAACATTTGGATGTTTTTTTATTCCACTGTCACTGTCTTGGTATAATAGGAAACATTCAGACTGTGATTAAATAGACAAACTTTTTTAAATTTTTGCTTGGCTTTGTAGCTAAGAAAAAATTATGGATTGTAATTTGTCCCTGTTTTGGGCGCCACTTTGTTGCAACAGGAACTTTGTTGCCGCTTTCAGGGGGAAACTCCATGAGGGACACAACAGTGGTGGAGGAGGTTTCAAGGCAAGACTGCTACCTGAGCAGAAGTTCTTGTGCTATTTATTGAAATCATACAGGCTAGTAAAGCTGATCATGCGACAGTGGTGTGAGAAACAGGGTCCAAAGGATGGGATAGGAATGGGGGACAAAATTTTAGGAAGGACAGGGAAGGGGACATCGTGACCATGTGTCATAAGACATTTGTGTCAGCAAAATATGATGTTGTCACAGGCAGAGTTATCCTGAGATTGCCATGGAGATAGTCACATAGTCAGGTCAACAACAGCCTATGCGTCCCAGGCCTGCCTCGTGATACGAGCTAAACTCTGTAGGTAGTCAAGGAATGTTCTACTGTAGATAGCAAATAGGTCACAGTTGCCCATGAGTAGCCAGTTCATAGGAACCCACAGTAATTGTTTTCTAAACATGTTTAATAATAAAAGTTTTTGAAGGAGGAGTGCATTTTAAAAATCTATTTTCTTTGCCCTCAACCTAGACTATAGAATCAGAATCTCCACGAAAGTGGCCTGGGAACAAGTTGTCAAATGATTCTTATTAGACAAGTTTGGGAAACATTGGCTAAGGGGGAAGAAATGCTTCAGATATAGTAGTTATAGTTGTTGCTGTTTAATTCAGTTTTATTGAGATTTAATTCACTTATAAATTAGTTGCAATTTTGTGGTTAAATTTAGCTACCATGGGTCAGGTTACAGTCTCTTATTTTCAGCTTTCCAGATTTTGGGTCCAAAAGAATTTTCAGGATTCATTTGAAAATAGATATGTGCTGTATCAGTCCACTTTGGTAAAACTAAGCATTCCAATCTCTTTAACCTTTTATCATGTTTTCTCCAGCCCCAATTGTATGTATCATTAAAAATCTTTTATTTATTATTTTCATTTATGTATTTTATATGCACTCTTTTTGGTGTACACATCTATAAGTTCTGACAAATACAGAGTCCTGTTACTGCCACTACAATCAAAATACAGAACATTTCTGTCACACCCTCCTTTTGTAGTGAAACCTTTCCTTTTATCCCCAAACCTTTGGCAATCACTGATCTCATCATTTAGATCAAAATACTTTCTAATTTCCCTTGCAAATTCCTGTGTGACTTATGTATTATTTAGAAGTGTTATTTGATTTTCAAGTATTTGGGTGTTTCAACCCCCTCCCCCACAAATGTTTGTTACTGATTTCTAGTTGAATTTAATTATGGTCAGAGGACATTGTTGGTATGATTTGAATGCTTACAAATTTTTATGCTTTTTTTAATGGTCCAAAATATGGTTTATCTTGCATAATGTTCCAGGGGCACATGAAAAGAATGTGTATTCCATTATTTGGCGGAGTATTCTGTAAATGTCACTTAGGTCAAATTGTTTGGTTATACTGGTCTTCTGCATTCTGCTGATTTTCTGCTTGTTCTGTTGACTACTGCATTAGGAATATTGAGTTCTCCAAGTATGATTGTGGCTTTATCTATTTCTTCTTTTAATTATATCAGTTTTTGCTTTATGCATGTTGAAGTTCTTTGGCTAGGTGCCTAGAAATTTAGGATTGCTATTTCTTGTTGGCAAATTGATCTTTTTGTCATTTTGTAATATCCTGCTATTCTTGTTCTATTTTGTCTATTTTACCTGATAGTAGTGGTCACTCCCGTGTTCCCTGGACCAGTATCTGTATGGCGTATCTTTTTCCATCCTTTTACTTTTAACCTAGCCGTGCCATTCATTATATCTAAAGTAGATTTCTTGTATACAGCACACAGTTGGATCATGTTTTTTCAATCTAATTTGACCATCTCCGTCTTCTAATTGGTTTGTTTAGACTAGGGCTTGGCAAATGTCTATAAAAGATTAGTAATGGGGCCTCCCGGTGGCGCAGCGGTTGAGCGCTGGGTTGCGAAGCTGCCGGCGACCTCTGCGGCGCAGCGGTTCGATCCCCAGCTGCTCCCCGGCCACCAGAGGAGGGTCCCACATGGCGTGCAGACCTCTCCTGCCGCCCGCTGCTCCCTCAGCAGTGTACTTCGGTCCTTCTGCCTGCTCTGCTCCCTGCTCTGGCTCTGGTGAATTCTCTCGCCCTCCCGCGCTTCTGACTGTACCCAGTGCATGTATAAACAAAACAAACAAACAAACAAATAAATAAAGAAAGAAAAAATGCCTCTATAAATTAAAAAAAATAAATAAAAAAGATTAGTAATGACTATTTTATTTAATTTTTTTTTTTAATAATTCTTTTTTTTTTTTTAAAGATTTATTTATTTATATATACAAGCACTGGGTACAATCAGAAGCACGGGAGGGTGAGAGAATTCACCAGAGCCAGAGCGGGGAGCAGAGCAGGCAGAAGGACCGAAGTACACTGCTGAGGGGAGCAGCGGGCGGCAGGAGAGGTCTGCGCGCCATGTGGGACCCTCCTCCGGTGGCTGGGGAGCAGCCGGGAACCAAACTGGCGCTGCAGAGGCTGCTGGCAGCTTCGCAACCCAGCGTTCAACCGCTGCGCCACCGGGGAGGCCCAGTAATGACTATTTTAGACAATGTAACCCATGTGACCTTGGTTGGCACTATTAAACTCCACCTTTGTAGCTGATTCTTTCCTCATTTCTGTTCTGTTACTGAGTTCATCTGGCCATTTTACTATTTTAGATTTTACAGTTTTCAGTTCTAAAATTTTTACTTGGTTCTTTTCTACAGTTTCTTTCCTACTGAGACAAACTATCAAACACATTTGAAGTGTGTTTTATATCTCAGGGAGCATAATTATAACAGCTGCTTTAAAGTCTTTTGAGTATTCCAGTATCTTAAGTTATCTTGGGATTGATTCTTTGCCCTTGATAATTAGTCAAATTTTCCTATTTATTTGTATATCTAATTTTGGATTGTATCCTATACATTTTGAATATTTTTTATTTATTTATTTTTAAACAACATCATGAAGACCACCATCTTTTTTTTTTTTTTTTTTAAGATTTATTTATTTATTTGTTTGTTTGTTTATACATACAAGCACAGGGTACAATCAGAAGTGCGAGAGTGTGAGAGAATTCACCAGAGCCAGAGCAGGGAACAGAGCAGGCAGAAGGACCGAAGTACACTGCTGAGGGGAGCAGCAGGAGAGGACTGTGCGGCATGCGGGACCCTCCTCAGGTGGCCGGGGAGCAGTGGGGGATTGAACCGGCGCCACATAGGCTGCGGGCAGCTTCGCAACCCAGCGCTCAACCACTGCGCCACTGGGGAGGCCCCATTTTGAATATTTTAATTTGAGACTCTACATCCTTTCAAGATCCTCTGGAGAATGTTTACTTTTGTTTTAGCAGGCAGTTAATCTGTTTAGATTCAAACTACCTGTTCTGTGTTATCTTTTTTTGGGTGGCTTATACATTTTATCAATAGTTCAGCTACTCATGGAACTTACTGGAAGGATTCTTTATGAGTTCTAGGGAAAGAATCAAACCCATAATGATTTGCTGAACACTCTGTTAGTGGTATGAGAAGCAAATGCTGATGTGTGCCATAATCAGTGTAACACCATTGGTTTGTGTACTTTGCACCAGGGATTATGACGTGGAACATGTGTCAGCTAATGAGTTACCCAGCAATGCCCTGAATGAAACAGACATAATAGCCTGAGAGTTCTCTCATGGATGAGTAACACATATATATATATATATATGTGTGTTACTCATCCATGAGTAACATCCGTGTGTGTGTGTGTGTATACACATATATATGTAACGGTAAATTTCATGTGTATTTTGCCAAAAAATTTATAAAGAACTATGAAAACCAAAACAATCTTTCAGAAATTAGAAAAATGCATATACTTTTATTATTTCCCCATGGCATGTGCTTTGTACCCCTCAAAAATGACTTTTAAAGAGTTGAGGTAGGATCTAAAATATTACAAGTGGCTTGTGCAATTTATTTGATCAAAGGTGGAACATGCTTAATCTCATTACAAGCTATAATATAACTAGTATTTTAGCCTCTGTTCATGAAATACAGCAAAGATAAGGATTCTGTTCTTGAAGCATTTGTGCTTTGGGTGTCAAATATGTGGATATAAACCAGTAGTGTATTTCTTGGCCAGGTGTCATTTGCTATAATTCAGAGGCTCATAGGAATCATAGTATAGCTAGAACTGAATGAAGACTGAAGGACATGCTTTGTAAACTGCCCTTTTGATTTCCAGTTAGTGATTGCTCCTGATGCATACTTTAAACTGCCCTTTTGATTTCCAGTTAGTGATTGCTCCCTGATGTTTTTAAAGCTAAAGTTTCATACTCATTTTGCACATTATTTGCAGTTTTTCTATCAGCCTAGGTAAAAAGTAGATGACTTGTAATTGTAATTATTTTCAGTGTTATTGCTCTTCATATGCCTGTTTTCATTGGAATAAAACACACTGTAGCTTTTAATGAAATTAGCATGAATTTCTCAACCGAGGGGGATTTAGGATGATATCCCTTGAAATAGGACTTTGTGTGGTGGTTTGCTTCCACTTATGTTTTGAGATTAATAGGCAGTTGAAAGGTCTGTGTGCCAAAAGGAAAAGATACCTGGGAATATTTTCATTGTGTACTTGAAATTGAAGGAGTTTATGACTACAATCTAAGAAGTGGATCTCTTTGCAGTTAAAAAAAATAGAGCTTGAAATACAAAAGAATGGTAGTTTCTTGGAAATGGAAAATGGTTTAAAGGGGTTATCACATTTTCTCTTTATGGTTCATTCTTCTCTAGGAAAACACCACCAATCAAGTGAAACACAGAATGTGATTGCATCAGACAAAGCAGAAATGCCAGTTGCCCATGAACATGAGCACAGTCACGACCACACACACCTGCATGCCTACATTGGTGTTTCTCTAGTACTGGGCTTCGTTTTCATGTTGCTTGTGGACCAGATTGGCAGTTCCCATGTGCATTCTACTGATGGTAAGTGACTCCAAGGCTTTCTGGGTAGTACAATAAGCAGTGCCCTTATTTAGTGTTAAAAGTCTTTTATTTTTTTTTATATAAGATTTATCCATTTATGCATAAAAGAGCTGGGGTGCAGGCCAGAGGCATTGTGGGATGTATGTGAGAGGATTCACCAGAGACAGTGAGGAACAGAGCAGGCAGATCTATTGAAATACACTACTGAGGGGAGCAGCAGGCAAGAAAGGAGATGTCTGCTGCACCTTGTGGGTCAGCTCCCTGGCCAGGGTTCAAACCCATGCCACAGTGGCTGCAGACGGCTTCACAGTGCTGATGCCCATCCACTTGCACCACCAGGGAGGCCCTCTTTTATCTTTGTTAACATTCTCCAGTGAACATTTTGTTCAGTTGGGGGAGCTAGTGAGCTGTGACATGTGGCACAAGACAGTGTTTATGGGTTATTAACTCTGGTTATCTTAGAGCTGTTGCATTTGGTTGAAAAGTCTAGAATAGAAATCCTCGTAACCTTTTTTGTGCAAGGGAGCTCTTAGGCAGTCTAAATCTGTGTACCTTTTTTGGAATGATGCTTTTAAATATTTAAAGCATAGTGCATATAATTACAGAGACGACCAATAACATGAAGCATACTTACTAAAACGTGAAAACAGATGTGTGATACAGTATTATATGTCTTCTTTAGCAATGCTTTAAATAATGAGATAAGATTAAACCACAAGCAAATAGAGTTAAATTTTATTATCTAGGCATCAGTATGAGTTATTGTTGCTTAACTTTGCTAAGAACATTAAATTGTGAGAAGGACTTTCATAAGTCAGACCTACAGTTGACTTGAGGGTTTTTTTTTGTTTTTTTTTTGTTTTTTGATGCTTCCTAGTTTGGAAAATTCTGATGCGCAGGTATATTTTCTTACAAATTTATTTTAACATTTTGAGCTTCCCTGGTGGCGCAGGGGTTAAGTCTCAGTGCTATGAAGCTATCACCAGCCACTGTGGCATGAGTTCCATCCCTGGCTAGGGAGTGAGACCTCCTCTTACCCTTCTCTACCCTACCCCCACCCTCCGCACCTCTGGCCTACACCCCAGTTCTTGTATGTATAAATAAATTAAATAAATAAATCTTTAAAAAATAAATTTACTTAAACATCTTAAGCTTGTTTCTAAGGAATGATAAACTTCTCTCAAGGACAACTAGAATTCTGTAAGACTTCACTTTTATTCTAGTTACAGTAACTTTTTTGTCTTAAGGTCAGTGAATTCATCTCTGACTAGATGAACATCTTTGATATGGTTGGTTGATAGTAAATAAAGGATTCTGATTCATGATACAACTTTGATACCACTGGGATAGAAATAATTTCGGGAGAGTTCTAATAGGTGTAGGGGTTTATAGACATCTTTCTTCAAATCCAGTGATAAGAGAATTTTGTAGGTAAGAACCTACTGGAAAACAGCATAGGTCTCCTTGTCCCCAGTGAGAGATTCCATGATTTTTACAACCTGGTGCCGGGATGGTTGCCCAACTTCATTACATATATGGCATTTGCAGATGGGAAGATTGTATCCATGCAGTGTGCAGGCAGTTCTTTTAAGTTCTTGATTTAGAGAAGTGATGAGTCATAGATGAGTGATAATATGAAGATATCTATAACTGTAAAATAATGTAAAATTACCTGATTCCTGTTGACCATCAAGTACAGATTGTACTGATACAACCTAGGGTTTTTGTCTATATTTATTTATTTATATATTTATTTAAAAATAAATTTTATTTTTATATTCCCCATACAATTGCAACCCCCTTATTTTGACCCCATATTTATGATGAAAGGGAATCCTAAATTTCAGTTAGAGGTTAGTAAAAAGAAGAATGCATTTCCCCCCAAATTAATGTCACAGATATCCCCTATATTCTGTGTTCTCTGTGGACCCCATGTTAATAATCCTTGGTCTATAAAGATTCTGTAGAAAAGCGGGCAAAAGAAAAGAACAGGTAGTTCATGAAAAGATACAAAAATGATCCTTAAACACATGAAAGGATGCTCAATTTTATTTTAAGAAGTATGCAAATCAAAACTCCACTAAGATGCCATTTCTCGTCTATAAGGCAAAACTTGAAAAAATCAGCAATACACTTTATTGCCCAAGTTGTGGCAATGCAAAATTGTTGTAGGAATGCAAAATGGTACAGCCCTGTGCAGGGGAATTTGGCAGTAGCTAATAAATAAATGCATATGTATTTAATATTTAACCCCAAAATTCTACTTCTAGGCATTTATTCTGATAACACAGTTCTGATATGGAAATACCTATGTGTATGATTATTCAATGCAGCATTATTTATCATGGTAAAACCACTTATACATACTGTCATGGAGGTTTGGTTGAATGAAGTGTGGTGTATTATATATTATAATTCTGTGTAGCTATGAAAAACAATGACGTATCAGATCTCTGAACAGCTAGGGAGAAATTTCCAGGAAATATTGTTAAGTAAAAAATGTAACGTAAATGTAAATGAACATCCATCATATATACTATGTTTTGCATGAGAAACAAGGGGAAATAAATAAAATTACCCACACGCAGTTTACCCTTGAACAATATGGGGGTTAGGGCCACTAACCCTCATATAAGATCCTCATAACTTTTGATTCCCCAAAAACAACTATTAATAGCCTGTTTTGATTGAAAGTCTTACCAGTAGTATAAACAGTTAGCATATATTTTATATGTTAAATGTATTATATGCCGTGTTCTTACAATAAAGTGAGCTAGAAATAAAGAAAATGTTACCAGAAAATCATGAGAAAATACATTTATATTCTTCTGTATTTATCAATATTATAAATTTACATCATTTAGAAAATCTGTATAAATGGACCCATCCCAACTACACACACTCACTTAAGCTTTTATGAAAAAGAAACTTAAGAATCAGCTAGAAAACAAAGCTGAATGCCTGGAGAGAGTGGGGGTTGGACTGTGTGATGGGTCCAAAGGGTTATAGGATGGTACAATGTTTTCATGGATGTGTCTTTTTTTTAAAAAACAGAAGGACAAATCTACTTTTATTTATTGCCTTTTCAGTAATTTTAAATCCTCAAACGGTCACATGGATTGTGTGTCCAAAGCAACTGGAATTTGGCATGAACCAGGTGGCTATTTCCACCTATCCACCCATCTGCTATATATCTGTCTACTTAACTACCTACTTACCGACCTATCTGTCTACCTACCTACTGATATCTATCATTCATGTGGCTGGGCTCATCCAATCCTATTTTCAATACTTTATATTTCATTATGTTCTTAATTATTCCGGCACTCAAATTGTTCTAGTTTTGGCCAGTGGGAGCTTCTTCAGGCTGGCTCCTATATCCCATGCCATGTTTTCATATTCTTTCTTACTTTTTTCTAATCATTAGGAATTAGTCAGGAGTTACCTTTCCCCAGATTACTCTACATTTTATTTCAGTTTGCCACCAGTCACTGTGGTGTTCTTTGCTTTGTGCATATAAGCACATCTCTTGCCCAGACAGAATTCAGTTTCATCTTGAGACCCCGCTATAGCCAGCAAAAATGATCACAGCCTTCCAGCCACATGTTAGAAGTCGTGTTCCCATCAGGCCTTAGTTATTTGCCCCCAAAATTCAGCAACAGGGATCTCACTCTGGACATGCCTTTTTGATACAGTTTTGATTTTGGAAACATGTTAATCTTTTCCATATTCAAAAAAGAAAACAAAATCAAGGATGGAACTCACTGAAACATGAATTATATTTCAAATGAATAACATAGTCACACTAAAGGGGGTTTAAAAAATAATTCAAGTCACTTATGAATGTAGTATATATGTTTATATACCATTAGTCTTGGGTGGAGTTAGGAAGAAATAAACAAATACTCAACTCTTTTTAGCAGGCTTTGCTTTTTGTAATTGTATGGATAAAACAATTCTTAAACTGTTTTAGATATATTATAGAATTGAACAAATAAGTAAATTGTTGATATTGGTAGAATCAGAGTCTCTCACTATGGAAGAAGAGCCATATAAATATGGAAGGGGGGGAAGGCAAGAAAGAACCCTAAGGGGATGAATTGAACTTGAAAGTATTGGACTCATGATTTTTAAAATGTGTTTGTATATATATGTTTACATATATATGTGTGTTTATGTATACATGCATGTATGTCCTAACTATTTGCAGAGAGAGTCCAGAAGTAAAGACACTGCTCTAATAATAAGCATACCAGGGTACTTTTCAGAGAAATGATTGATTCCAGAGCAGGGCCAGTGTAAGTACAGAATGAACTTGGGACATCTAATCATTGGAAAAAAGTAAGAAAGAATATGAAAACATGGCATGGGATATAGGAGCCAGCCTGAAGAAGCTCCCACTGGCCAAAACTAGAACAATTTGAGTGCCGGAATAATTAAGAACATAATGAAATATAAAGTATTGAAAATAGGATTGGATGAGCCCAGCCACATGAATGATAGATATCAGTAGGTAGGTAGACAGATAGGTCGGTAAGTAGGTAGTTAAGTAGACAGATATATAGCAGATGGGTGGATGGGTGGAGATAGCACTTGCTTACAATAGAATGCTAAAAATCAACTAACTAGAGTTAGAAAATAATCTTTTTGCAACCTTCATGACAAAAGTTGGCTTAGGCAAGAATCAACAATGAATGTTAAGTTTAAGGGGTAAATTTTGATTTGCTTGTTAGTTGCTAGTGAAAAAAGAAATAATGAAGAAATCAGATAATACCTTAATGTCACTGGTGTTCTGCTTTCAGTGTGGCCAAGTAAGTTCCTATCAGACCAACCCTCTACAGATAACTGTAAACTTTAGACAAAATTGAAACAAAACAAAACCCACTGCCTAATGATACTGGAGTCAACTAGAGCAGGCAAATTCTGGAGGGGAGTCAACATTTGGAACAGGGTGAGTTTCCTACTTTTACTGCTCTTTAATTTACACCCAGTGAGATCACCAAAACTGGTAGAAAGCTTTCTTTCTGGCCAAAGGAACCAGAGGACAGAGTTCAGGGCAACTAGAGCCACTGGAATGTGAAGGGAGAATCTTACAAGGGAGACGGAAAAACAATAGCCCCAAATTCTATGTATAAATTTGCCCTCGTCTCTGACTAAGCCCTGAACCATGCTTTCATAGGCAGATACCAGCCTGCTCAACTAAAGATGAAGAATTAAGCTGAGAGTTGAGCAGTTGTTGAAAAGTCAGAACTTAGTTTGGTCCAAACTAAGTTACTTAAAGCAAAACAAAACATTATTTGGAGGAATATAATAGAATCCAGAGTATCTAACAAGATAGTGTTTGCCATGTCTAAGATATAATCCAGAATGCACATTGCCATTGAGCAGCAGGTGTATATCCCGTGACTCCATATGTGATGTCCTGAGAAGCATCATCTCTGTATTCTCTCCAAGAATACAAAATCTAAGGACACATCAGACAAACAAAAGGGAGGGTCATTCTCTTTAAAAACAAGAAAAGCTGAGGGAGGGGAATGTATTCTCCAAAGACATCAATGTCACAAAAGTAAATGGCAGAGAAAATGTTCCAGGTAAGAGGTAACTAAAGAGATACAACTAATTGCACTATGTGATCCTAGACTGGATCCTTCTTGGAAAGAAGGAAAATGCTCTGAAAGACATTCTTGGGTAATTGGCAAAATTGGAGTATTCAAGAGAGATTAGAAAAAAGTGTCAGTGTTAAATTTACTTAAGTTGAAAATTGTACTGTGATTATGTAAGAAAATATAATATAGGAACTACACACCGAAGCAAAGAATTACATACACAACTTTTCAACGGCATGTGTGTTTTTGTGTTGTATGGGTAGAGAAAGAGAAAGCAATAAGGACAAATGATGAAGCAAGTTTCCAAAATTAAAAAAAAAAAAAAATTTTAATCATGGGATTAAACTTGAATAAAAAACAAACAAAAACCCTTTGGTTTAGAAAGATTTTTAATCTCCTTGCATTTACTATTTCTAATTTTTTCCATAGAATTTTTTTTTTTACACGCACAAAGACTAACATTGAAAAACTGATTTAGGAGTATATGGTTTTATTCTTGTGCTTTATTACAAATAACAAATGAGAAGCATGCTCTGTTGGATGGTAGCTGACTCCAGCTGCATAACATAACATAATCATCCACCGTGACCTCTATGATATTTTTCTTATGATTCTCACCATTTCAATTCTAAATACATTCATGGGCCCATTAGTGCCCTGCGATCCTATGCAAAGAATTAGCTCGAACATGTGTTCTTCTATTCTTTCTTCTGTTTTAGCTCTGCGGTCACTTTGTTGGCTTTCTTTTTTTAAAAAGATTTATTTATTTGTACAAGAACTGGGGTACAGGTCAGAGGTGCGGGAGGGAGGGTGAGATAATTCACCAGAGACAGAGCAGGGAGCACAACAGGCAGAGGGACTGAAGACACTGCTTCAGAGGGGAGAAGACACTGCTGAGGGGAGCAGCGGGCGAGGCAGGAGAAGTCTACCACGCCATGTGGGTTTCTCTCTGGCCGGCTGGGAATCAAACCTGCTCTGCAGAGGCTGCGGACAGCTTCACAGCGCAGTGCTCAACCTGCTGCACCACTGGGGGAGGCCCTGTTGGCTTTCTTGGTTTTACCTGTTTGCAGGATTTTTTGTATTCTTAATATCAGTAATACTTAATATATTTTTTAATTTTGCTGAAGTCTTGTAGATTTATAAAAACTGTGCTGTAATGTTAAAGTCTGATTTTTGTTTAAGATGTTACTTTATAAACAAAAGCCAAACAAGCCTGTCAAATAATGTCACATGATTATTCCCAGTTTGGGGTGATATTGCAATATTTGTTGTCTCAGAACTATCAGGGGTTTGGCGTCCTTCCTTGCAGTGTTTTAATTAGAAGGTAAATTTTGTAGAAAAAGGATGACATGTTACTTTATATATGCTTTTTCTTATAAACCATTCCTTTTGTGTGCTAGGCTCGTCAAGATTAAATTACTTGAAATTTCTTTGACAAATTAATGTTCTGTCATTTCATCTGGCATTTTTGACGTCCTCATCTTGTAAATTTACATTGTTTGCACATTATTTATGTGCTTGGATAGTTTCTGTGACAGCAGTTACATTCATGTGATATAGATAATGACTTTTTTCACTGTCCAGTGTGTTACACTTTCTAAGACATGTAGAAAGAAATGGAAATAAGTAGGAATTTTAATTCTGTATAATTTACATTCAGTCTGAGTTAATATGAGACACTTGAGTGAAAAGCATTTCATGTATCTAAGGTGATGCTATAGAAGAAACTGAAGTAGCAAGACTGAGCTTTTGATATCTAGGCAAGGGGAGAATTGTTTTCAGCTGGAATTAATCTTTGATTTTTTTTTTTTTCCTTGAAGAAAGTGGTCCTAGAATGAGACTTTGAACAGTGTCTGGTTTTATATTTATATTGTCAAACTGAGAAGTTCAGTAATGCCAAGAATTATGGATGAGATTTAAGGAAAGGAGAATGACAGTGTTTTGTTACAGTTACAAGGAAACTATAGTTTCTGAATACTGAATATTGAATAGAGAGAAATAAGTTGATACCAGTTGATAAAGGCTTCAAGGAACTACTTTATAGAATAGTTTTGATTGAATTTGAAAAGCAGCAGATTCTTAATAAAGTAACTGACACATCAGGAGGGTGGTGTTTCAGAAGGCTGACTCTGGAAAGGATGTGTAAGATGAGTTAGATTAGGGAGAAATGAGAGTAAAGGAAAACCAGTTAGGAACCTATTGCGAATTTAGGTTTGAGTTGATTAAAATTGAGGTTAGGATGGTGGCATTGAAATAGAGAAATGTGACAGAACTTTTGATGTAGGAAACTGAGGAAGGGGAGCCGGTAGGTAGTGATAAGTCGATTAGTCTGAAAAGAAGTGGTCAGAGGTGCCACAGAGCACTTTCCATAGGGGTAGACAGTTAAGGGGTTTGAGGCAAGTAGGGGATGATGACATGTCTGTTCAGGGAAGCCTGGGCCAAATGAAGACTTCCCTCCTATCCATCTTTTTAGACAGGAGAAACTTTTATGTGTTTAAAGCAGAAGGAAAAAGACAGTAGTCAGGAAAATAATAATCTACTTTAGGAGCTTTCAAATAATCCTTTCATCTTTAGGTCACTGTCCTAATAGTTTCTGTCTCACATTATTTAATGACTGACTTTCTTGTTCTTACTTCAGATACAGAAACAGCAAGGCCTTCCAATTCCAAAATCACCACCACGCTGGGTCTGGTCGTCCATGCTGCAGGTAGGGTTGGATTGCAGAACCCCTTTCTTTTCTGCCACACAAGGGGAGGTTTCATGTTTACAATATAAGGAGCATCCTCTTTAAACACTAGGCTTGTCTGGCCTTCCTTTTGGGAAAGGGTTATATTTTTTAATGGATGAGGTAAAATATCTTGTGCACATGAAAATTACATGAAATTCAAATTGCTGTGTCCAAAAATAAAGCTTTTGTTTGAATACAGCCATCCCCACTTGTTTATGTATTATCCATGGCTGGTTTTGAGCAGTAACTGCCAACTTGAGTAGTTTTGAGAGACCAGATGGCCTGTGAAACCTGAACTATTTCTTATCTGAGCATTTAAGGAAGTTTGCTGACATCTGCCCTATAATCTTGTCTGGAAAAAAGCCTGGGCACTTTTGTACTGCTGCCCAGTATATACCCAAAGTGCCAGTTTAGAAAGAGGCAGGCTACACAAGCCTGAGCATAGCTGACTGGTCATACCTTAGAACATGACCCAGAACTAGCTCCAGTAGAAGGATTCTGCCATTGACAAACAAAGGCAGGTGAAAGATGGCACATTGTTATTATCTGGACCTTTCTAGTTGCTAATCAAAAAATACATCCTTTCTTAACAAAAAATTCATCCTTTCAGCCAATATTTACTTACTAAGTTTATATTGGTCTTCTCTGTAGAGTTGTAGTGTCATTTTTTTAATCTGAAAAATGGAGAAATGGTTCCTTTAAAATTCTTGGATATTTATTATTACAATGTAATTAATTAATTTTTGAGCTTTATACTTTTTCCAATAATAGCAACAACGATAGCTGACATTGAGTATTCTGGGCTAAATCCTTTACGTGTGTTATCTCATTTGACCTTCATGAAAACCTTAAGAACGCAGCAGCAGCTTCTACTTTATTAAGCCCATTGCAAAGATGAGAAGGTTAAGGTTCAGAAAGACTAGGTAATCTTCAGGCAGTCAAAGCCAACCCTCTCTGACTCTGCAGCCCACATTCAACGACTACCCTGTTAGCAGTTGACATTTATTGTTTGTTTCATTTTTCCCAAATTTAGCTGACGGTGTTGCTTTGGGAGCAGCAGCTTCAACTTCACAGACGAGTGTCCAGTTAATTGTGTTTGTGGCGATAATGCTACATAAGGTAAGCAACATTTTGGCATTTTGGTATAAGATTTGATATTGCGTATATTCATAATTAAAATCTCTCTTGGTCATTAACATTTTCCTGGAATGGGAAACTTTTTTTTTTTTTTTTTTTTTAGTTATTTCATAATTATTTTTGGAGAATAGAATAAATCAATCTGTTTAAAAAAAATTTTTTTTTTTGCTATCATTTTCTTTTTTTTTTTTTTAATAGAGGCATGTTTTATTTATTTATTTATTTATTTGTGTTTTTTTTTTGTTAGTTTGTTTATACATGCACTGGGTACAGTCAGAAGCGCGGGAGGGTGAGAGAATTCACCAGAGCCAAAGCGGGAAGCAGAGCAGGCAGAAGGACCGAAGTACACTGCTGAGGGGAGCAGCAGGCGGCAGGAGAGGTCTGCACGCCATGTGGGACCCTCCTCCTGTGGCCGGGGAGCAGCCGGGGATCGAACCGGTGCGGCAGAGGCCGCGGGCAGCTTCGCAACCCAGCGCTCAAACGCTGCGCCACCGGGGAGGCCCTGCTATCATTTTCTTAAAACTTAGTTGTGAAGGGTTTTTTGGTGTGTGGTCATACATACAAGCTGTGAGCATATTTGAAACATGTGAAAGCATATGTGAAACATATTTCTATGTTTCTTAATAATTTTTGTTCATATTTTTGTTTTCTTAAATTATTGTCTCAACTATTTCTATCTTTCTGCTGTCCAGTAAACACACACACACAAGTGGGGATATTTTCTTAGCTTAGAATAAGAATTCCTAAAAGTCAGAATTCAGTCTCAGTACAATGCCTGGCTTTTTTGTAGGTAGTTCAAATGACATATATTTCTTAATGTAGAGGCAGTCTATATTGCTGTATTTTTCTTTTACAGGCACCAGCTGCCTTTGGGCTGGTTTCCTTCTTAATGCACGCTGGCCTAGAGCGGAATCGAATCAGAAAACACTTACTGGTCTTCTCACTGGCAGCACCAGTTATGTCCATGGTGACTTACTTAGGACTGAGTAAGGTGAGTCTCACTCCGAGCTTATCTAGACAAATGTCTTACTCTTGTGATTAGCTGGAACTTATGGTCTCTTGTGTTGAATTTTTCAATAAATTACTCCCTCAAACTAAAGGGTAAAGTGAGGAGTAAAAACCTGTGCAAGGTAAACGTCTTAATTCCAAGTCAGTCCTCTTCATAAATTTAGAGCATCTTCTTATTCATTTAGCTCAAAAACATTTTTCTATCTGTTCCAAAAATATTTGCACAAATACATGATAGTACTTCAATCTGTAATATAAGGTATCTAACCACACATGCTAATTTTACTTGACAGATGTATAAGTCACAACAATACATATTTAGTGCTTAAGTAGGCCCATGAAGCAGGACTAACATGCCATGCAGCAACTCTGAGAACAGTAGGAAATACGGAGAGATATCTTTATTCCTCGAAGATGCAAATCCGTGTACTGCCAGCTCTCATATCACTGATAGCACTGAACATAGCTTCAGACCTGAAGTGACATGTGTCATTTGTCCGCTCAGAGCCTGGGCATTCTCTCCTCTTGTTGAATTTGGACCTTCCCATTCTTTCTGCTAAGGCTGCAGTGCTGAGCAACCCCCCCCCCACCCGCCCGCCCCCATTTTACTTAAATGTCAACTGGCAGACAACAGAAGAAGATCTTCTGGTCTTCTTCTCAAGTCTAGTTCATGGGAACTGCTTTCCCCCATACTGTCTCTAAGCCACTGATTCTTCTGAATGCCATTCAATTCATATCTGATACATGATACAGTAAAACATGTATTAAAAGAAACGTAAGATGCAGTTTGCAGCAACATGGATGGAGCTAGAAGGGATCATGCTCAGCGAAGTAAGTCAGAAAGAAAAAGAAAAATACCGGATGGTCTCACTCATAGCAGGAATTTAGGAAATCTAAATAAAGGATCAGGAAAAAGACTAATTAATACAAAGTGAAAATCAAAATCAACAGGCAATTATAAACTAGAAACAAACTACAGCAGGGGAGGGGGCGGGGAGAGGAAGGATTAGGGTCAAAATAAGGGGGGATGCAATTGTATGGGGAATATAACCAAAATGAAAACGCATACATTGTGCAAAAATGAAAAAATGATGTAAGAATTATATAAAGTAAAATATTAAAAAAAAAAAGAAACGTGAGAAATTAGATGGTCAAAAAATGGTTAAGGTCCTATTAACCAAGGGTTTGTTTATCAGGATTATTAACAAATGAGTTGTTATAAAGCCTCTTCTTGTTCATCTGAAGAGTCTTATCTTTCAGTCAATGAGCAATAAGTAGTTCTTTGTTTAATACTGCCCTACTTATCACCTTGTTAATCAGTATGTTTTTAGCACTTTTGACAGGCATTAATAATTCTGGAGGCATGGAGTTACATGTTACCTGTTCTTAAAATTTTAATTAATTGTCTTAGTCCATAGGTCCATTTTTTTAATGGAAAAGCTTGAAATTAATTGTATAAAGATTAGCTATGAGCTGTTTCTAAGCTCTGTAGAGCAGGTACCCACTTGACTACTGCTGTATCTCCCACCACCCTATAGCCTGGTGGTGCATGCATAGAGGATGTTTATTAAATATTAGTAAGAATAAATAAGTGAATATGTGAAATTTAGTATCTGCATTATGGTACTGTTGATTCCATCTTAGGAAAAGTACACACCAAACCTGTTCAAGGAGACTTGAATTTTGTTTGAAAAAGAAATTATGTACATCACCAATAGTCTTGAATCCATATTTGGAAGCTTTCCATAATAACATAAAATCTCTCTGACCTCAGAATGTCCCCAGGATCACAGATAGCACCAGTTACAAGTTATTTTTTATTGGAACTTCTTCCTGTGCCTGAGTTTTACTTGACTTAATTTTTCTTCTCTCTCTTAATTCACAGAGCAGTAAAGAAGCCCTTTCAGAGGTCAATGCCACTGGAGTGGCCATGCTTTTCTCTGCTGGGACATTTCTTTATGTTGCTACAGTACACGTCCTCCCTGAGGTGGGCGGAATGGGGCACAGTCACAAATCTGACCCCGCTGGGGGGAGAGGCCTCAGCCGCCTGGAAGTGGCAGCCCTGGTTCTGGGTTGCCTCATCCCACTCATCCTGTCAATAGGACACCAGCATTAATCTGGTTCCAGCCTCAACCTATGGCCGTTTACCATCCCGTGAGACGAGCCGGCACCTGACAGCTGCTCACTTCCTCCGTCTCTTGTCTCACCTTGCCCATCTCCACCTGTATTCCTAGAGTCCAGAGGGAGGTGAGATTAAAACCTGGAGTAATGGAAAGCTTTTAGAGTAGAAACAACACATAGGATTGGACATAGACATTCCGTTGTGTTGTCTTTTAAAGGGCCCTTGGCATTTGGAGTTTTGATGTTTTTCTTAACCCTATTCTCAGGGAAGATGGAATTTCGTTTTAAGGAAAAGTGGAGAACTTCATGCTCACAATGGAACAGTAATTATGAAAGGACAGTGTTCTGTAATTAAGCTAAATCTCTTAGTTTAGAGGCTCTGCCACTTTATCCACTGATTTTTAACATGGTTTTCACCGTGTACTACTGGTGCTTTAGCATCTATGCCACATGCCTTGATAGAAGGTCATAATGCCCACTGTCTTAGATGCTAAAGATAATTGTAGTTAATTTGGGGCCAGAGTCAGGAAAATGATGACAAGACACGTTGAAACTGACTTTATACTCGAGACATCCATGAGAAGGGGGTGTCTGGAGAGACGTACTGCACGTGCCTCTCTAAAGAGAGCCTGCTATTCCATCAAATGGAGCAACTGAGGTGAACTAGCTTCTAAAGAGGTGACTAGTATTTTGTAGCATTTCTTTTTAAGTTTTCTGCAGAATACCTGCCTCCAAAACATTCTTATAGAAGAGCCAAATTCTAGTAGATTAAGGCCTAGGCTTTCCTTCGAGGACAGTCAGATTCCAGAGTATCTTTGGAAATTAAAGGGTGTTAAATTTTAAGTGAATTTGAATAGTTGTTGACATCTTTGTAGTAGCATTTTTACAAGTAAGATTACCAAAACCTATGGTGTCCTTTTTTTCTTTCTAAGTATTTCTCTTAGCAGACCAGCAGACCCTCTGGCAAATACTTGGTGCCCTTGGGAAGAGCTTGGTCAGTGTCACATTACATAAGCACCTGTAGCAGTGAAGAAAGTCAGGATGTATCACAAATGGGAAGTGTTTGCCTGTTGATATAAAACTTACCGAAATCATGTCTGCTGTCACTTCATCTTTTCCATGCTTTTCTCCTAACTTTTCCCTTCAACCCTTCCTCCCTGCAATATGCTGCTTACTGCTGGTGGCAATGTTAATATATGTGTGAGTTGAGTTCTCATCAGGACAACCACTTCTTGAACTGTGATGATGAAGAAAATACTGTCTTTTCTTTATTCCCTTCAATGAAGTTACCTTTGTGTCAAGTGCAGCCTTAAGATATCATTTCCTCATATGTAATGTGGTACAATCACTAATATTCTGGTAATTTAAACAATTGAGATAGTAAAAGTGTTTAACAAACTAGGATATTTTTCCTTATTTGCCAAAATCCCTGTAAACCTTATGTTATCAAATAAGTGTATAATATTGTATTATTAATTTATTTTGATTTTCTGTACCATTTCAAAACACACTACATAAAGAGGAAACCAAGACTCTTCTTCAGGGCAGTGAACTTAAGGTTTGTAAAACATTTTATATGATGCATAAGCCAGCATGCCTATGATTTCTTTATTTCCTTCCTAGAGTTTTCACTGGGTCAGCAGCTTGGAAATGGAACTTGCAGGCCCTCTGCTGACTGTAGACCAAAGTAGTATATATAGGATATGGTTTTGTGTACTGGTGGCAACCATTGCATTTGATGTTAAAGCCAACAGGAGGTATTATACAGAAGGGCCTAGTGATTTTCCTGAAAACAACCCTGGCTTATGAGAGTCATGGGGTTTTATCTGGTCCTTCAAAATGATATGGCTGCCTTGATTCTCTTGCAGATTTACTGTGTTCAATAAATAGCACATTTTAGTGTCTGGTTTGGTTTGGATAGTAGCACTTTCTATCATACCGTCGTGTGCAATGATCAGAAATTTGTTCTGCTGGCCAAAGCCTCTTTCAGCAGTGCCTTGCCATCACACTTAAAAGTTGGGCTAGAATATCTTGCTGGGTAGGGCAAGGATCGAACCATCGAACTTCCAAATTTGCCTTCCCCTCTGAACCTCACATTAACAAGCAAACCTTTCATGGACTATCAGCTCTCAGAAGCTCTGGGCTTTCCCAGATTTTAAAGCTGTTGCCTCAGGAAACCCCCATTTCCTGGTCAGCAGGCAAAAATAGCCATACTAACCTTACAGGGCTCAAATGCATCTTTAGAACATAGGGAACTGAGTGGCACGGCAGAGCCTCCTTCACTGGGGGAGGGACATGCTCTTAGTAGATGTTGTTCCAGGAGAGGCCAACTTGTGGTTGGCCTCTCTGGGCATATCTCAGTTGCGTTTTCCTCTTGTTTAAAACTGCCTCATTAGATGGGGATGCCTTAACGCTTTCTCACCTTTGAAAACATTGGTCATACTTAAGTTGCTGCCATGATTACAGGTGGAATTTTTGGCTACCAAAGAGATGTAATCGATGATAGTCCTTCCTCATAACCAAAGTTAATGTTAATTGCAATTGGACTCTTCTTCCTTGGTAGGGATAGACTTTCTTCAGATTCTAAGTATTCTCTTAGGTGGAAAATTAAACTGAAAAAGTACTACTGATCTATCCCCTCATGTTCCCCAGTGAATTGCTTATCAGCCCCCATCTCCCCAAAGCAGCAATGTTCCAGGTCTGATGGCTTTGCTGTGCATGCTCTTGCCAGATTTGTTTTAGATCAAGGTTCTGCTCTGGAGTAGAGAGTTGGAAATGGTACTACCCACAGAGGCTATGTGTTCTTTCCTCCTCCTTTCACTTTTTTATTTTCCTATTCCAAACAGTAGAGTCAGCCCTGTGCCTGTATTACAAATCATTAGGAAAAAAAGAGATGGCTGTTTTGAGTGTTCAGTTTTTTTGTAAAAGAGAAAATGTAATTGTGGAGTTTTGTGTTGTTTATTTTATTTTATTTAACTGGCCTGCTTCTAAGTGTCACTGCCTGGTTTTTCTCTTTTTTCAAGAACTGGAACTAGGAGGGCACACCAGCATTGGAGTGTATTAAACCCCTCAGATACATGGTAACTAGGTACTGAACATGGGCACTGCTGTCAATGGCAGAAGCTGCCAAAGAACATTCCTTAACTGCTACAGTGCAAGATGAGAACCGTCTGTAAAGTATTCTCCAGGGGGAACTTGCTTTGCATTAGAAAATTTCTGCTCAATACAGAATGGTCTCCATCACCCAAAGAGCACTGGTGGTGAATCTGCGAAATTAAAACCAAGGATGTAGCTAGTCCCCTTGTAAGTGAGACATCTCCATTGACCTCAGGAGACCTGAGGGAAATGTGTGACTGGTAGGAAAGGACTAGACAAACTTGAGGAATTCTCTAGATATGCCCAGCTTAACACAAGGATTGGTGTGTTCTGATATCATCTTCTAGCAAGTTGGAAGTCTCCTGGGACAGCACTACAGCTCCCCTGGCTCAGCAGCCTGAACAATGACTTTAAATGTCCCTTTTTCTGGATCCTTTGTAAACATGAAATCATTCCATGGATGGCTGCCTTATAATTTTGTCCCTTTCCACTTTAATTGTGAATGCTTCAAAAATTGTTCCCCTGTTTTTCTGATTTGTTTTATGATATTAAATTTTTATTAGTGCATACCTTATGTAGTGACTCATTATTTATCCTCTGGGCAGTTTGTTTTTCTGTTTGACAACCAGATGTGATCCACATTTGAATATTGGAAATGGTAATGAAAATTTTTGAGGACAGGGCCTCCCTGGTGGCGAAAGGGGTTAAGACGCAACCTTTGAAGCTATCCGCAGCCACTGCAGCACTAGCCAGTCCCTGGCCATCCAGGGAGCTACCCATATGGTGCAGCAGACCTCTCCTGACTTGCCCGCTGCTCCCCTCAGCAGTGTATTTCAGTCAGTCTGCCTGTTCTGTTCCCCATTCTGGTGATTCCTTTCACCCCCCCTCCCCCCCACATCTCTGGCCTGTACCCCAGTTCTTGTATGCATAAATAAATAAATCTTAAAAAAAAAAAAAAAGCTTTGAGGACAGTGGAAAGCTGTGCCCACCATGTGCACATGCTTTAGAGAGAGGGGAAAGGAAAGGAGGAGGGGGATTAAGGATTTGATGTACCAGCTGTCCCAAAAGATACAAATTTAATGCTCGTCTCTTGGCTTTGTCGTTGTTGGTAGCAAGTATCTGTGAGGATAGCTATCTATAATCCCATATTTATAGTCCCATAAAAGAGAAGAAGCCAGCAGACCCAAATCACGGTGTATTCATTTTAAAAGGTGGAGTAATTATATGGCTATTTAGAGCCGAGAACAACTGATGCTAGAGATTTAATAGAAAGGCAGTTGTGGTCTGGATGTTTTCTCCCTCTGTGGACTTTGGAGCTAGAGCTTGTCAGTGCTGTGTACACCGGCGTCTCATTTAATTGTGTGGTTTGTATGTTTGTTTATTAGATGTCATTATTTCTTACGGTCCACTTTGTGCTGGTCTTCTGTTTCACATGAGCTACAGCTAGTAACAAAGTTTGTGTCCAGGGTGTTACATGTTTCCTGAAGACCCCTCCTCATAAAGAAGAAAATGGGCAAAAAGGTTTTTTTGACTGCTGCCATCTCTTCTGGAAGGGTTCCTGTGAAGTGCCTACATATCCCTCCTTTGCCTTGAGTACTAGACTTTGAAAACGTAGTAAGATTTATCAAGTTAACAGCCTGTGCTTTATTGTCCTGAGATAAATATGGGGGGGGGGAAGTAATAATTTGTATGTGGCCAGCAATCCTTTTTCTGTTTAATTTTGTTTCTAACAAACTAGACCTGTATCTTAAGTGTGGTTTTTTAACGTAAGAAATCAGCAGCCTTGTGTCTCTGTTGTCCCTCTGTCCAGAATGACTTTCCCCAGCTCCCTCATCTCCTTAACCTGTGACTCTTTCAATTGGGCCTATATAAGAATTGTAAACTGCCCCCAGTTCCACCCCAGTGCTCCTTACCCTGTTCTGTTCTTTTTCTGTAGCAGTGATCACCTTTAATCTGTCTTATGTGTCTTTACTTTGTCCCTCTTCCCTACTAAAACTAAGCTCCAAGAATTGGGTTCTCAGGAAATATATATTGTTCAATGTATTGATTTGACCTGAAGGGGACATATTTTTTTCTAATCTATGCTCTCCCCCATACCTGCCACCAGCTGCTACCCTGACCCCTGGCAGAACCAGCTGCTGGCATTCCCTTTTGTCTCACACTGGGGTGAGGGCTGTGCAGGATTATCAAGAGATTTGGAGTCAGAAAGGGCATGGAACTGACCACTGAATGTGTACCAGTGGGCATTTAACTGGGTCA